TAAAGCCTTGAGAAGTACTTTATTTTTTCTTACTAATTTACATGAAGGAAATCATGCTAGCCTCAGTCAAGATGAGATTAAGTAATTTTTATCACTTTTGAAATGCTGATCTAAAAATAATATGCTTAATGATAAACTACTAAGGAAGTTACTAGAGTCAGTTATATAACTTGTACAAATGATATAACCATCATAGTACACTGCAAGTAGCCACTTTTCACTTTTCTGGTTATTTTTAACCATGTGCATTGATAATAATCTTACTGAGGAAGATAAAGACTACCCTCAATAAGGCAAGAATGCAATAGGAAAGATGGATGCTGCTGTGGATTGAATGGTTGTTTGTCTCCCAAATTCATATGTTAAATCCTAATGCCCAGTGTGAGAGTATTTGGAGGTGGGGCCTCTGGGAGGAGGTTATTAGGTTATGAGTGTGGAGCTCTCATTAGTGGGGTTAATACACTTATGATACAAAAAAGAGCCTCATGAAATTGCTTTCGACACTTCCACCATGAGCCGACGCAGCAAAAAGATGGCTTTCTAGGAAACAAGCCTGTACCATACATGAAGTCTGCCAGTGCAGATACTGGATTCTAGACTCCAGAACTGTGGGGAATAAACTTCCATTGTTTATATGAGCTACTTAGTCAATGGTGTTGTTTTAGCAGCTTGCATGGACTGAGATAGAAATGTCAAGCAATAATTGAAAAAAAAAATGAGTGCAGTCTACTAAAAGGTGTGTACATAATACAGGGGTGAAAGAAAAGAGAGTAGTCAATTTTAAAAGGAGGATTAAGGAAGTTTTCATAGAAAGGAGAGCATGTCAAATGAGTTTGGAAGGACAAATCAGAGTTTGATGGGCAGTATCCACAAACAGGACGAGGCTTGTGGTGTCATACAGGTAAGGCTGGGGTGCTTCTAGGTTGGGCTTGGCCAGCAAAAAGGTGGAGGAGATCACAGTAGACAAATGAAAGGGGGCCAGGTAAAGCTCCTTGAGGCATTCACAACTCGTCTTATTCCACTTCTAGTCACTCTGCAGTAGTTATTCAACTTTAATCAACTCTTCTGCTTGTCCCTGAATACCTTTTGCTCATTCAAAACTGTGAATCAGAGGTTTACACTATTCCCCTTATTTCAATGATGCTATGCTTAGAATTATTGCCTGACTGAGTAGACCTATTCTTAAAGTTCCATTGATAAACATTTCAATCTCCTGTCTCCAATTAGAGGAGACTTCAGTTCTGAATACCCTATGTCTCCTCCAAATTCTCGCACTTCTCTCTAGTTTTTAGAGATACCTTTTTATCAAGTACTAGACTGACATCTAAGTCAGACTCCTTTAGAAGGAGACTTCTAAATTCACAAAAAATGTTTAATATAAACATCACAAATCTATAAAGATTATGAAAATAAGTAAGGACACATGAGCATCTGTCTGTTCAGTAGGGCTGGTATTCCAACACCATGATGCTGCTTTTTCGTTTTATTACATGTGAAATCCTAATATGAGAGTTCAAAATGTGAATGGTGGCCACGCTGAAGGACTGAGGCATGGGATAAGGCAAGCCCAGGAGAAGCAGGACAGAAAAGCACCAGAGTCATCAGTGCATCTGGTCACCTAGGGTCCCAAGCATCAGCCAAGCCGAACCCCACATCAATGGTTTGTGGGTTCCTACCTAGGAATCCACCTCCAAAACCTTCACCATCAAAAGCTTTCTCCACAAACACGACTTTCCTAGTCAGGTGCAAACTTGATAAAAGCTAAAGTTATTGCAAAAATAAATAAGAATAAAGGAGATTGTGTACAGAAGCATTCAACAATGGTATAATCCGAGTTATGGATAAGTCGGGTTCCATTCACATGTGAAATAGTCTCTGGAGGCTGATATGGATGGATACAGAGATGGACTGAGCGAACACTGCCATTGTTTCAGATGGTTTATAACTAACACATGAGGGAAAGAGACTCAGCTTTCTGTTCTGAGTGATACACAGCAGCCAGCCACAATCCACTCCTAGATTACAGCCCCATTCTATCAGGACTTCCCACCTTGGAAACAAATCATGACTCATCTGAAAACCGCCACCCATTCCAACCACTGAATTTTGTCCAACACAGGTTCAAAAGAAAATACTTTAAATTTCTTCATAATAAGAACAAGTATGCAGTCTGTTTTAGAGCATAGGATTATGAAACGAAAGTTCAAACTCTCCTTCTCCACCACTTTGTGACACATATTCTATTTTTCCATCTACTTTCTTTCTTCCCTTTCTGTCCAAAAAGTCATTTTAAATGTGGTAACAGCCCAATCTGCCTAACAAATAAGGAGCTGACATTCCCTGTTAGGCCTAAAAAAAAAAGTCAATGGATTTCTGTTACTTTTATTTTTCTCTTCTTTCTTTTTTATTTTTTAAATTATGAAAGTATGATAACACATTTATAGAAGACTTGGAAAATACAGAACAAAGTTACATACAGTTCCACTCTATATTACAATTATTTTTTAATTAGAAAAATTAAGATTTTTAGTTGGAATTTCAATATCAAGCTTTCAAAAATTAATAGAATGAATGGACAGAAAAGTAGAAGTATATAGTAGACCTGAAAAGCACTATGAACCACTTCAACACAATTAAGATTTATACAATTTTCACACAACAGCAGGATATAAATTCTATTTAGGTTCCCAGAGTCTATAAACCAGGAGACAAGGAACCTATCCAGGGATATAAAACAAACGGCAAAAATTTCATGGTCTAAGGATATTGAAATAATACAGAGCCTGCTCTCTCATCACTGTGGCAGTTATGTTAGAAATCAATATCACAAGATATTTGAAAATAACCCACATATTTTCAAATGTAGTGGGTCACTTTTGTTTTTTAAATCAAGATGTCATATTTGTTGCTTGTACTTGTAATTTGATTTAAATTATTTGTTTGTCTTTTTTTGACAGAGCAAATCCTATAATTGGACACATTTCTTAAAGTCCCCTAAATAGAACATATGGCAAGACACTTTCAGAAACAGAGACTATCTGATGCACGTTATTTTATAACTGCATCAGATAGCAATCTGTGAATATACCTTCAAAATTCCCAACAAAGGTGCCAGATATTGTGTTAAACCATCTTAACAAAAGCATTATGGAGTATATTTTAATTATTTCCATTTTATTTCTCAGAAACTAAGAATTCAAATAGTTCAGTTACTACTTTAGATTTCACCATTAATTCATAAATGGTTTTGAACCTAGGGCTTTCTGATTCCAAACCCTATAGTTAGCACCATAATCCCATGCTTATCCAGTAAATAATAATCACTAATGCTGTCTGATTACCTAACAAGTAATCAGTGCTACTAAGTGCTCAACCAAATTAACTCATGTAATTCACACAACAATCCTATGAAATAAATACTCATTATTAGACCCATTTTACAGATGAGGAAACTAAGGCAAAGAGCAGTTAAATGACCTGTCCAACACTGCAGAGCCAGAAAATGACGAAACTGGGTTGCAACCCCAGGCAATCTGACTCTAGCCCTGCCTCACCCCACCATACTTCAGCACTATGATACAATATAAGCACGTGACTGCATGTTATCTGTTAATTAAGATTTTTGTTTCACTTATATGTAAAAATTTTATCTGTGTAATAAACCATTGCCTCTTCAGTGCCAATCATATCCAATTTCTGGAAAAGAACTTGCAAACCACTTTTATTGCACTGGCCTGATTATATAATAATTCACTCAATTTTAGTGGAAAAGTCTTTCTCTATATTACTAAATACATTTGTCAAAATTTTCATTTTCAGTTTTTTATTTTAAACAGACTAGTGCTGCATTCTGTTGGCTAAAGGGGATGGTCAGATGAGGTGTTAAAGAGATTTCAGGAAACAAAAATTTTAATATATTAAAACTGAATGAGTAATATCTGACTGCATTTCTTCATTGTCCCCTTGGTATGAAATTATACATAAAAAGTATCTTGTATCTTGTTTCCTCTAAGTATAAAACACGTAAAATTACACTCTAATGGAGTAAATATCCTGGAGATCAGAACTAGAGGCCTAATTATTTTGGCTGATGGGGAATTGTGTGTTCAAGTATGTGTGAGGACCATGTGCTCCTTATTTAATCATAACTTTCTCAAATAAAAAAAAAAATTGGGGTTGTTAATTTAAGTATAATCTTATCATTTATCTCTTAGGTGAATAAAGCATAAAATATTTGATGCTATTAACCAATTTTAAAAGAAAATTGTGATTTTTTTTTTCACCTTCCTACTTGTGGTATTAGTGAGCCACAGATAACATCTATTTTTTATGGGGCTTTACTGTTAATAATTTCACATTCAGGATCTCACTTATCCTTTAAAGCAATCATGAATTAGGCAAAGCAGAATGTCTACCTCTCATTTCGTAGATGAAGAAACTGAGTCCTAAAGATTTAAGGGACTAGTTAGATGATAAATGTTGGGGCTGGAACTAAAATTAAGGGAATTGAGTAGAATTTCCTTTCAATGACACCATAGATAGCCCATGTCAATGACCATATAATACCTGTGTACGTGAAAGTATATCACATACCCTGTTAAGTACAACTGCAATAAAATTGACCTGTTTCAAAATATTAAGCTAAATAAGATTTTTCGGTTTTACACTACCAGATTTATATGATATTACAGAACCAAAAGTCACTGAAACTTTCCAGTGACTACTTTCATTCAGTTAAAGGGAGGTAAAATTCTATACTTCTGAATTCTGCCTATTTAGATACACATATATTGCCATATCAAAAAGTAAAAATATATGATAGATGCATCTAAATGTACTTTCTCATTTTGCAACTGGTTGGTATATAGACTGTCTAGCCATGTTTCATAATAGTAACACCAATGCACATGTCTTGCATATTTTTTGCAAGATAAATGCATACTGTATTGAAAATCTCAATATATAACCATATAAATGATACTGAATAGAGAATGACTTACTAGTGAGGAGCCTTGGTGGTATACATCATGATGGGAATGGGTATAGTTCAGTCAATCCACAGTCCACTGAGAAACTCGTAACAGAAATAAGTGCCATCACTGTTCAGACCTAAGCAGACACACAGAGAAATGACAGTCACTAAATACCATTTTGTACCATTTGCACAAGAGCATCTTTACAACCTGCAGCATTAAAAAACAAAAAGATGCCTGACAAGCAATCCAATGAAAGGACTTTATACAGCTCTGTTAATGAGTAGTATAGCAGTGGAACCACACTATGTAAATCAGTAAAGAAGTAAAAAGTTTAGTGATTAGACATTATATAGTGATTAGGAAGTAATAAATTTAGTAGTAAACTGTATCACATTACTGGAAGGCTATAAATTTATCAATAAAAACCCAACCCAAAACATCTAACATTCTGTTGTAAATTTGGGGGGGGGTAGTTATATGCTAAGCACTTATAGCATGTCTGTATATAAAATTTCATTTAGTCTTGACAACAGCATTGTAATGCAGGTAATCCCCTCATTTAACAATATTTAAGGCTGTGTGTAGGGCCCTATTCTATAATCTATGCTTCTCTTTCATATCAGGTGGAGTATGCCAAATACACACTTCTTCCTATGCTAACTTGTGCTCCCTATGACTTATGGTATAAATAACAGATATCAAGAGGATTATAAAAACATGTATCTCTGTTTCACACTTACTTTCCTAGAAAACAAATATGGTATTCTACTCATCTTTGTATGTCAAAATGTAAGATCTTTTGGGTACACACAGATATTTGTTGATTAAATAAATGAATAACAGCAACAACAAAAGTAGAAACTGAAAAAGAGAAAGTCTCAAGTCACACTTTTGTCAATAATTTCCTTTACTTACCAGAATTATCCTCCTGTTTGCAACACAACCTCAAGAGGAAAGAGTAAGAATCCTCATCTAAAAATCATGCGAATGAAGTTCAAATACATATCATTAAAGGAAATACAAACTATTTAGCAGTCAGTTCAATTCAGTTCAGTTGGAGAGGTTTCTGAAGAACAAAAAAGATGAAATAACAAAACTTTTCCAGAGAGAGAGAGAGAGAAAAAAAAAAACAATCCACTTTCACTTCTAGATCAGATACTAGCTGCTAACAAAGTCTAAGCACCTTGCCTGTGGCCAGATCTCAATGGGGGAGGACCCACAGAGAGAGGAGAAAATTGAAATAGCTAAACACTGCAAGTAGAAACTGCACGATCACAAGAAACTATGAAGTGCTGCTCGCACTGGAGATGGCTGTCAAGCTGGAGACCATGATGCTCAGATTCCAACTTCCCCTGCAGAAGAATCAAGCATCCCGCCCGGGTAGAGCAGGAGCTGGCCAACTGTAGGCTGCTGCCTGTGAGCTAAAAATGGTTTTCACATTTTTAAATCGTTGGAGGAAATCAAAGGAATCATTTAAGTGTAAATTATTTGAAATTCAAATTTCAGAGTCTATAAATAAAGTTTTATTGGAATACAGCCACAACATCTCATGTATATATTGTCTCTGGTTCAGTTCAGTTCAGTCGCTCAGAGGGTTCTTCCCGGAGGAAGTACCAGAAAGGAGGGTGGATTCAGCCATACTCAATCTGGCATACAGGCTACAGGCTGGACCAATGAGGATGGATGGAGAAAACCGGCCACCAGAATATATGTCATTTTTCAGTATGACAGAATGAACTTCTCATGAAGAAAATAAAATCTCTGGGCTCTGATTCTCTCCCTGTGTGTGCCAGCCTCTAGAAAGGCAGATAACCAGTTTTTTGGTGTTTTTTTTTTTTTCTTTTTTGGTTTGTTTTTTGATGTTTCCTTGCTGAAGATCTTAGATTATATGAGAAAACAGAGACATCCTAAGCAGGTAAAAGACACTCCATCTCTCGCACAGAAAAGCAAACAGTGGGTCATATCTAATACAGATAAACAGGGGATGAAGCGAAACAAAACAAAGCATAAGAACTATATTAAAAAGAATCTGCTACATAATACATGAAAATATACAAAGAGGAAGCATTTTCATTTCAAGGATATCAAAGAAAAGTTAAAATAAGTTTTCTAGAACAACAACTCCATGCTTTTGATGAAGTTTGAGACAATACAGAATAAAATTAACTTCAGAGAAGTTAATTAAACCAAAACAAATGAAAAGACACTTAAGTGGTTCCCCTTATAAATATTAATTGCATCTTGATGACAAGAAGAGGGGTTTTGATCTCAAACACTTGGGTCTGAACATCAATTCCACTATTTCTCTTGCTGTATGACCTTGGACAACTGACTTTCTATTCAAAGTGTTATTTCCATCACTTCTTAAATAGGGTTATTCTGAGAACTGTAGGACCAAATATGCATAAAATGCCCAGCATACTGCCTGTCACAGAGGAGGCACAGGATATTTACTAGCTTCCTATGTACTTTCTGACCCTGCTTATTTTCTTACCCTCTTGCCCTAACACTAATCATCTACCACAGTCATTACAGCTGTAGGAAAATTGTAGATTTCTTCTACGTTGTCATATTTGACTTTGCATCTTGTTTTTCCTGGGTGGACTATACCTTTTAAACTTTGGACTCCTCTCTGTTTAACTGGTAAATTGGTATTTACTTAAAAATTTAATTCAGAAATGAATTCTGCAACCTCCTTAATCCCTTAGACAAAAAATCTAGAGCCACAGCATTTTGTGCATAAACCTATTTTTATGATTCATACTGTATTCTGTTTTATTTACATGTGTCTTTCCAAGGAGGCTATATTTTGGCCAAGTGCATTGATATGATACATCAAGATGACCAACTACGGCCTCCTGTATAAGACAGACATGTGAACACATACACCTGCCTACACTTCTGCCTATTCACTGGCCTTACAGCAGAGATTGTGCCCTGATGCTTGTTGAACAGACAGCATCTCCTTCATGCCAGATGCAACTTGGAGTCAAGCAGTGACTTCATAAATGCTTGGTCATAATAGGCTCTATTATTTTTTTAAAGAATAAATAAAGAATGAAAAAAAGAAGAATGATGGAAAGATGGTGAAGATTTGATTAAAAGAAAAAAAAAAGGACACAGCATATAGTTGCTAATCCTGACCACTTAATTATCCTGGAAACTCATAAAGAAATACGGACAAAATCATACAAATATCTTCATTTTATACAGTTGGTTAAATCATTTTTAGAAGTAGTTCCCAAGAATAATCTCCTCCCATATCTTAAACATTTACCTTGTGTCACACTCTGGTGGATACAACCTGCTGCTGCTGCTGCTGAGTCGCTTCAGTCGTGTCCGACTCTGTGCGACCCCATAGACGCAGCCCACCAGGCTCCCCCGTCCCTGGGATTCTCCAGGCAAGATACAACCTATAAGTCGGTTATTATTATTCTTATTTTTTTCAGAGGAGAAAATTGAAAGTGAGGAATCAAAATAGAATTTTTTTCTTGATTAATCATCACACAGGAAGTTGAGACCTAAGTCTACCAAATTCTAAAGTCAAGGTGTTCCACATAACAAACTAGGCATGGCCTTTACTTTGTAAAAAGATGTGATTAACAGAACATTCATTGTGTAAACAGTTGGTAAGTGGTAGGTGTTATAACTGCTATTATTAACACCATAACCTAACAAAAGGGAACTGTTTTAACACTATGGAATGCCGTATTGTTAAATATATTATGCTCTATTGCTATAAAAAGTATGAAAGTTATGCTAATATAAGGAAATGTGTACATGAATGCAGAATACAAAATGTTATATATAGGCTTATTAAAATTATAGGCAATTTCATGTAGGGTAGATTAACAAAAATTATAAGATAGTGTGATAAATATAATAAAATTGTGCAACTATAGGTAACTTATTTGAACTTCATCAATTTATTTGAGAAGATGCAAATCTGCTTGAGTTCAAGCTTATGTTTTAAAAAGCAGACAATGTATCTACATTTCTAAAAGTGGTGGTAACATCCTAGACCTGCACATTTGAAATCTCACATTTTCTTTAAGTAAAGTAATATATTACACTTATGTTGCACTAAGACCTGTTTGTTAGTCCATTTATTTATTTTGCTATTGGGAATGGACATATTCAGAGGCAGATTTAAAAATGAGAATGACTGAAGTGAAGTTGTCTTTGAAATGGAGTCATTTAAACTACCTACTCTAGTTAAAGGGCTTCCCTTGTGGCTCAGCTGGTAGAGACTCCACCTGCAAAGAGGGAGACCTGGGTTGGGAAGATCCCATGGAGAAGGGAAAGGCTACCAACTCCAATATTCTGGCCTGGAGCATTCCACGGACTGTATGGTCCATGGGATCGCAGAGTCGGACATGACTGAGCAACTTTCACTTTCACTTTAGTTAAAATACACATAGTTTACCTTAATATTTCCCAATTACCGTAAGCAATTAGCACATAATGATGCTAACTTCTATACACAAAAGTTTTATACACACACACATATGAGAGAAAGAACGAGCTATTTCAGCAGAACCTCAAGAAGAATAATGTTAAAATTATCCAAAAACAAGTAACAATATTTGATAAGAGCAACAGTTGAGACACAGAAACGTGCTGAATTGTGCTCAGCTGTCTGCATACTAACTCGCCATAAGCCATTTAGGGCACTGCTCATCTTAGGTTCAGGCTTTCCTTTGAAGGCAGTTCTAACCACTGTCACCCACTCATGAAGCAACTACCGTTCCTTTATTCTCATTGCATTATGACAGAACAAAGTACAAAAGATTGAAAGAATTCTGTCTGATCAAAAGAATTGTCTATCAAAGAAAGTGCAGGAAAATGACCCTGATTGTATAGCTATGAAACCTACCCAACAAGGAATCAGAAACATCTGCTCCCATGTGTGTGGGTGGCTCTTCTTTCCTACAATAGTTATGCCCAGAGATTCATGCCTGATTCATCCATGGTTTGAACAAACTAATGGTTAGGCCTGAGGCAAAAAGTGATATTCTGGATGAAAATACACATTTTAACTAGGTTTTCCATAATTTGAAAGTTATGTGAAAAGTATTTTCCTTCTTCATTGACTCTAGAATTATTTTGCACCCGGCTTAACTCTTTTG